CCGGTTTATTTTTCTTGTTTTTGCCTTGAATCTTGTTTGTTGATTGTTGTTTTGGTTTGTTTGAACTCCTAGGATCCCCAACAGTCCTGATAATTGTAAACTCATTTACGCGCTATCATCTTGTGTTGTACTAGGAGCATTGAGTCAAGGCAAGTGGGTTCATGCTTAAATTGACAGGAACAGTATCGAATTGGAAGGTTTTCTAGCTACAGCTCTTGTGGGTATGTACTCAAAATGTTGGTGCATTGAGAAGGCTTGGGAAGTGTTCGTAACACGTTGACGATGGATATTAGTAAATGGAATTCAATGATCAAAGGGTTGAGCATCCATGGGTCTAGACTTCACTCGTTAAAAATGTTCAATCAGATTGTTTCTGATGGTTTTACTCCTAATGAGGTTACTTTTTTAAGAATATTGTCAGCTTGCAGTCGTGCAGGTTTATCGTCTGAGGGTCTTGTGATGTTGGATCACATGGTTTGTTTTTATGGGATCCAACCTACTATTGAGTATTATGGATGTTTGGTGGATTTAATTGGTCGGCATGGTCTGTTAAATGAGGCCAAAGAACTTCTGAACAAATACTGTCAAAGTAGTCCAATTGTTTGGCAGGCTCTCTTGGCTGCTTGAAGACATCATGGTGATGTGGAATTGGTTGAATACTCTTCGTGTGATACCCGTAAGCGTATAGGATTGTTGACAAGTAATAATAAGTGAGTTAAGAGTTATCATCCCACAGAGAATAAATTTAATTCAAGTTTACTAGTTTCGTATGGAATTCTAGTTATGAAAGCAAAATAAATATTTTGATTTAATTTAAACTAAACTGATCTAAGAAAGCAATAAAAATTGGGGTTTTATCAAATTATGAAGGATTGTATTGGATTTTGACTCCGCCTATTGGTATTTATTTCAATTCTTGATTCGTAATCTAATTTCTTTCACGAGTTCTTGACAATCGATAACACTAATATGTTAAATGTTCTTTTCTAAGATACACTAATCTATGATTAACACGACCCGATCCAATTCTTAATCCAAATTCATATGAAAATCATGCATTTAGTTTAAGTTATCAATATGATTGCATGTTGATAGATATTATTCCTAATCCTAACTATACATGTTAATTTTGCCACTTCTAGATTCGTTGTGAGTATTCCTACACTACAACAAGCAACTAACTATTCAATTGATGGCCAAACAATTCAATAGTGCAATGCAAATGCAAAATTAATCAAGTAACACACGAATTAAACTAAATGCTTGTCTTGAATTAAAATAAATAAATAATATGGTTCATCTCATCCAATACAATGAAAAACTAGCATAGCATATTATTATATAAATTACAAGAAGAATAATAGAAAAATATCACCCGAATCATGAAAGAATACAAAAGATGTTGATCTTCACGTCCAAAGTTGAATTCTTCAAAACTTGATGTAATTGAACTTCAATTCCTTGCTATGGCTCGATCTTCTCTCTCAAAATATAGCAATTGACCTCTTGTTCTTGATGAATTTGATGAAACTATTATATATGAAGAGGTAAGAGAGAGACCCTTTTATTGTTGCCCATATCTTGTATTTATCTGATGAAATTAGGTCAAAATTCACGTCCAAATTGTCTTTCAAAAGAGTTTGAATCAAATAAGGAAAGTTTTCTTTGCGCGCACATAATTTTGTCTCTGCACGGCCCTCAGTATTTTGATCATAACTTTCTCTTTCAGTGTCCGATTTAGGTGATTGAAAGTGCATTGGAAAGCTAATTAAAAGATATATAATTATTCTAGAAATACAATTTTTTCAATTCAAACATTCTCCATCTAAAAATGGGTCTCAAGTTAACCAAAAATCTTGAAAATATCCTATATGATTGAAAGTCGATTTATGGTAATATTCTAATCATATCCCTTTCCTTTTTGACTCCAATTTGCATTCAATTGACTCCTATCAATCTTCAAAGTATCTTTTGTAGTCCAAATCAACCATTAAATAGTTACACTTTGGTCTCCATACTTTGAATTTGCTTCATTTAGCCATTTTCCGTTCTTTTTTCCAATTTTTCTTTGAAACATGAACTTTTCCTACGAAAAGCAATAAATAACAAATCAGGTACTAATCCGTTCAAAGAATAACAAAATATCATTATTTAAGATCCCAAATAAGTGTAGAAACTACACTTATCAAATACGTTGCTAGGGAACTTTAGAGCTTGATCCTAAAGACAGTGCTGGTTATTTTCAGTTGTCAAATTTTCATGCATCTTTGGGGAGATGGAATGATGTTATGGAACTAAGGACGATGCTGAGGGAAAAGGGACTGAATAAAGAGCCTGGTTGCAGCTCAATAGAAGTTGATGGAACTATTAACAAATTTTTAGCTGGGGAAAGGAGTAACTGTTGAACTACCTTATCTAAAAGCTTAGTTTTTAACATGCCAACCTCACATCCATGCTGAATTCTGACACGTGCATAATCAGGCAGCCAATGATTTTTTTATTTTGTCAATCAGGCACAGACTACTGCTCGATTTGAGGTTTATGTAAGATTGCAGTAGAGATTGTTTAACAAAAATGACTTCGAGTTCTTATGCATACTAAAAATTTGTCCGCAATTTGATTTTTGAGGATATTCATCAACTTGTTTTATCTTCACACTCGACTCACGAGGCTGAGTAGGATCAAGCAAAATCTATTCACCTCAAGACTTTAAATGGTATATTCCTCTCCCTTAGACTCTGTCTACTCTGCTGTCGGCTTGGAAAGAAAGAGAATGCTATAAAGAAATCAATTGGATTGCAGAGAATGAAAATTGAAATTGTTCACTAATAATCTTTCATGAAGTATTAGAATTATACTTATAATCTAATAACAAGATCCCCTGTTCTTAGCTAAAAAGCTGTTAATTTCCAAAATATGGCCATTCTGTATTACCATTTCAGGATCAATATGCATACTGGTGGTTCAGCACTTTAGCTGAAGCAATATCTGCCGGAAAACCTTGATAATAAGATCATGGTATTCGTTGCAATTGAACATTAGATAACAAGCCAGGAGTTCTTCGAGCTCGTCTTGTTGTCTAATATCTTTCTCCATGATCATCTCCATCATCGAATCTCTGAAGTCCCGTTGTGGATCAAACGAACTCTTCACCACTGCAAAGCTATCAAAAACTTTACTGCCTTCAACTGGTTTGTCGTTTATCTCCCTTTTTATCTTCATTCTTGTTTTTTTATCGTCTTTAAAAGCTCGGATTTTGCATGCTGTTCTTGGGGATAACTCGTTGAGTCTGTGACTTTTCTTTGTATTACTGCTATGAGGTTCCCTGCTTATGTACACAGTCTCCCTCTGCAATTCACATTTAGCCTTAGTTTCTTTAGCATTATTCTCATCTTCAAATTTTCGCAAATCTGAACTCGGTATTTTTCCAGAAGTTGCATTTTTCACCTCCTCTGAAGTCAGAGCTTCAAATGCCCAATCTTCCTCAGATGTTCTTAATCCAGAGTCCATGAAAGACAAATGGTCTTGCTTTCTTGTAGTGGAAGCTGCCGCCTTCTGAAAATTCTTCTTTTTGGCTTTAATTATGTTTTCTGGTTCAGTTTCAGATACATCTTTTTCTTCATCTTTATTCGATACTCTCTCCATATCTGCCCGTTTCTCTTTCATTACTTTCTGATTCAATTTTCTCGTATTTTCATCATTCATGATTTCTTTTTCTTTCATCTTCTTTATGTCCATAACCATTTCATTAAACGTCTGATTTCCTTCTCGTCTCGCCATTTCCATTTCCTTCCACTCCAAGCTATTTAAACTCGACCCAACAACTCGATCAAGTTGAAGCTCCTGATCATCAAAATCACCCCAATAAGAATTTATATCACCTGTACTCCTCCTAGCTTCAATTCCATCTTCCCTAAACGAAAGCCTCCAATAATCATCATTATCCGCACAGTAGAATCGTCCCTCTCTCCAAGTAGAATCCAACGATGAATTATGAGACAAAAAGTCCATCCCACCCTTCCGCCTCATCTTTGCTGAATTAGCCTTTTGCTTCAATTTGGAGAACCAAGAAATAGGAAATAGACGAGCAAGTAAAGACTGATGAATTGGAGAAGAAGCAAATCTCTGTCTTCCCCACTTCATGGTTATTAAGGAATCTTAATCAAGGATTGGAATTTTTCTGTGATTTTGAGGTTGAAACAGAATATATCGTGAAGATGATTTATGGAGTAGGACAGTGGGTGGGGAGGCTTATATTAGGGAGGTTGGTTTCATATTATTGGATCACTTTAGGCTATTTATTTCAAAGAAATGCCCGCCTTAAATCTTGTGACAATTTCTAGTTTGCACTTCTTGCTTTGTAGAATAGCTGTTCTTAATTGAGGGGACCAAATATATACCTTTCATCTTCAATTCTTTTCATGTTACAAAAACATATCAGCCAGATCTAAATAGTTGGTAGTCAATTATCTTAGAACTTATTTTCTAGCATAAGCAGAAGTGCAAACATGACAAGTGTTCGAGATAAAATTATGTAGCGTGGTGCAAGATGTTTAATTCACGAGGTTGTCTCTTGCATGTTCATGGATTGAATAAATAAATATTTGAAATATTGTTCCATTCATGGACAATATTATAGTTTCCTTTTTTCTTATATATTGATTAGTGTGTAGATGTGCACTACAACTCAAATACGTTATAAAGTATCTAAACTCTATTGTGTGGACAGTGCAATCGTATCTACTTATTATAATTAGCTTCAGTAACTCGAGTCATGTTTGAATAGTAAATCCATGTTCAAGCTTGACTTAGTGACCGAAATTCAGAGTGCTTCCCATTGCCAATTTCAAAGAAGAAATATAAATTAAAAGTAAAAAGCTTAAACTTAAAGACTAATATCCTAGATATTGTCTCACGGTAGGACATAAAATTTTGATTTATTATCCATTTATCCTTAGTGTCATGCTCAAAGGATGTTAATTATATTTATTTTAGCTTATTTTATTTATCCCTATGCTTTATGGTATCTAAAACAGATAAAGAGGAAAACTTTTAAAGACAATAAATTTATTTGTCGTCAGCTTTAGGACCCTCTTTAGTTGCGTTGAAGCTTTGCTTTCCTTTGACATTGGTTCTATAAACTAGTCATAAAATATCTTCTATAGTTTCACTTTTCCCTTCGACCAAATTTAGTTCCCACAATGCAGATAGTTATTAAAAGCAGTGTCAGTTGAAGGTTCGAAAGTTTTCGGCTCGTATCTTTTCTCACTGGCTTCGTGAAATGGTGACTCTGTGAGGATGTGCCATTAGAAATCGAGCTTGAAACTCTACCCTACTAAAAGCAAAAATGTTTATATATGGATAAATAGATGGAAACGAGTGATATAATTATGCGTCCCATAAAATGTTGAAAGCACAACTAGATTGTCAAGATGACAAACCTACAAAGTCTAAGTATCCTTTTACAACGTCAGTCGATTTTTCTAACAAAACCGTTTTGGGCTAACCGTAACCATGTTAGTGTTAGGATATAAATAAAGGATTATGCCATTTGTATATTTATTTGTTTACACCCTTGTTGACATTTGCATTATTGTCAATAAATAATTGAGTGAAAACCTGTTTTTTTTTAATACACCAAGCATGATTGATTGTTGGATTTTGATACCTAATTAATCTCGGATGATGATGTTAAAATGATGTTGGATAATTTATATCGACACCTTAGTGATGACTCAACCCTAAACAACTTGAGGCTATTAGAAGCAACTTAAATTAATTTAATGTTACTCGTGGCCCAACACTTTTAAAGGGCCTAAGTTGTTGTTATTAGTTAGATGGTGATATGTATTGGCCCATTAATTATCGGTTAGTTTGTCTTTAAATGGAAGCCCATATAGTGAACTTTGGCCTAGTTGGAGTGACCTAACTAATGCTATATATATCTATCCCCTTCCAGTCGTTTTTTGGTGTGTGTGTGTGATTGTGCAAATGAGATAAAAGTGTGTGCTTGTGCTTGAAGAAATAAACCAGCGGTTGCCATTTGTATTCACCCCTTGTATAGGGATGGTAGTGGATCAAGTTTGGGGCGGAGGCGAAACAAACCTTGCCCTGCCCCTCACCCCAGCCCGTCTTAGACAAGGTGGGGCGGGGCAGGGGCTTGACCTATTTCCTACCCTTTTTTATATTTTTAAAATTTCGAGTTATGCTATTATTAGAGAATAAAATATAAATTCAAAATTTTAAAATCCAAAACAAATAATTCTCAAACTAACAACGTCAATATCCAAAATAAACACTCAAAATAAATAATGTCCAAAAATAAACAATTGCAAATAGAATTACATTGTAACTAAATTTCATTTATTTATCCAAAATTTGATATTTTTCCATCTTTATAACTTCATTTATTAGAAGAGTTAGAGATTACACATGATGTATTCTAATAAACGAAAGAAATATTTTACTCAATATCATGATTAAATTTACATTATTTGATAAATAAAATTACGTCCTCATCAATATCATCATCATTCATCTTGGAACAACATTCAAAATATGCAGACGGTGCAGAATTCGTTATTAATAAAGTAAAATAACTAGTAATAAAAGAATTCATAAATGAACAATATGAAAAGCAAATGTTTATATACACCAAATCGTGGATATTGGTCCATAACCAATCTTGAGTACACATTAAAGCCTCCAAAGTTTTGGGGTGAAGCCTATTTTTGCGTGGACTAACAAATCTGCAACTAGCATTGAAAATAGATTCGGGCACCTCTATAGATATTGGGATAGTCAAAATATCTTTTGCAATTTGAGATAAAGTCGGATATTTGATTACATTTACTTTCCACCATGTCAATATATCAAATCATCCGACCAAGGCAATATAGGCTCATCCAAGAAAGTATCAAGCTCAGTTTTCACATTGCTAGGAGCTCTAACATTGGGAACAAATCTATAAAAACCTGCCATGCAATCTAATTTATTGTTAGCACTTGACGTCTCGATTTGACAAGAAGAAGTAGAAGACTGAGCTTAGATGTACTTGAATAATTCTTTTTCTAATAATTGTGCACCAACTTGCCACAAACTTGATAAATTTTTTCAATATCGAGGATAATAATACTTAATTAACATCATCTTATACATTAGATCCAGCACTATTGCTAAAGCCAAAACTCCATGAATATCGCTTCAATACTTGTTAAAGTTTTCCATCATACTGGTCATCATCATTTGAACTTCCACATAAGGAGATTCAAGTCACTCATACAACGACAGTTTGATATCACAAATATTTGCAAATAAGAGATTAGCAATTGGATACTTTGTTCTTGAAAACAATTTAGTAACCTAGAAAAAGACCTTTAAATTCTCACATATTTCTTTTCTCAAATCCCAATCACCATCACTAGGTAAACGTTTATACTGTGACTCCCTTTGTTTCAAACGAGGAAAAAATCCTTATAAATCAAAGCAGTACGAAGGGCCCCAATTTTTCTCACAATCAAATTTCAATTAACGTGCAAAGAACTCAAATTTCAAATCTCTTTGGTGTGACTATCCAATAAGCAACACTATCATGGATTTTCTCAACACTACCACTAATAATCTCCAACACATCCTTCACAATAAGATTTAATATATGTGCACAACACCTCATATAGAAAAAATCACCATTCAATGCAAGAAAGAGTACAAAGCTGACTTAACACAATATTGATCATAGCATCATTTGTGGTGCAATTATCTACAATCAAAGTTAGTAACTTATGATCAATATTTCAATCCAGTAAATTATACAACAGAGTTTCTGAAAGCAAGTCAATAGTATGGGCACGAAACATATATAAACTTGAGTTCATTCAAGAACAAATTAAATCAACTAAAAGAATATAATTTTTTGTAAACTATGAAAACAAGTGAATGTAATTTTTTACTGTACCTCATGATTCGATTCTGTAGTTTCCAAGCATCATCTATGAAATGAGTAGTGATAACCATGAATCATTTCTTATGATCAGAAGAGATCCACATGTCGATTGTGATTGAAATTCGACTCTCAATATTCTCAAGTGCAATCATATTTTTTGCTTTCTTGTATTCATAGATTTTCAAATTGTCGCTCTTCAAAGTGTTGCGAGAAGCAACCTTAAACAATGGTTGTAGGTCGTGCAAAAACTCTTGAAATCCACTGTGATCAACCATAGACAAAGAATATTCATGCAAAATCACCATTGTCGCTAGACTATACCTACACTTATGTGGATCGAAAGAGTAAGTACCAATTGTGACCTTGCCACTCGCGGCATCCTTTTTGAAATTTAATATTGCTTGGCAAGTATTATCCTGATGACGGAATCCACATCTCTTCAAATGATTATACAAATGCTTTGTACCATTTTTTTTGTCACTCCCTAACTATTTCTTTTAATGAGTGCATATAGCCCTCCATTTCTCACCAATTTTTTGTCTTTTGTAGTGCTCCCAAAGAGCTTAAGTCAATTTCCTCTTTCCGAAAGATAGTTCTCCAACATTAAGCTCCTGATTACGTATGTTTATTGGCCTTTCATCCCCATTTGGTAACGGTTTAACTAGATCTTCTTGCGGCACATTGCTCACAAATATTGGTCGTGCTATCTTCCTCGCGTATTGGTCCTAATCCAATACTTCTAGCACTATTTGGGCCAAACATCTTTGCAAATAACAAATGACATTAAACACAATGAATTTTATCCAAATGTGGGGAGTTCTTTTAGGGCTAAATATAAATAACTAACATGTAGTGTATTTAGAAAAATAAAATTTGGTGTGAATATAATCCTCCTTGTCTATTTATTAAAATATTTCTCTATTTCCTAAATGTCAATAAGTAAAATGACATGACTAAAAACCCCAATCCATACTATTAAATTTCAAATTGTAATTGATGAAACGAAGAAATTGATATCGAAACTGAGATTAACCTAATGTATTTACGTTTATTCCAATCATTTTCTTCGATTTTGTATCTCTATTTAAAACAAATTGTGAAATAACGAAATAATTTTGAATTTTGATGTAAAACAAATAAAGAAAAGGCATAACTGATGCTATTCAAGTAAAGGACTAAAGTGAAGCCTAACTAATGCTATTTGTGTAAATTCGTTTATGAATGGTTCATCAGACGACATCGTATACTATACCTTCTCCCTTTGCTTATGCCACAAGAGTTTGAATCTCCAAATCCAAAAGCAGCAATAGAAGCTGAAAAGTTGAGACCAATAGAAAAGAAAAACTATTCTCACTAATTTTAGTAGGTTCTTTGAGGAGTCTTGGCCGTTGATTTTAACGATAATGTCTCTGGGATGAGAAAGAGGGGAAGAGAAGGAGGTAGAGGACGACAAGTCCTGACAGTGCATGTGGAGGAGATTTTGAAATTTTTGTTCTTTTAGGTGCTGATTGGGGGAGAATTGTGGATTTTCTGAGTTCTTCAATGTGGAAAATGATGGTTATCCAATGTATATAGGTTGTACGGAATTCAAAAATAAGAAATATTTTGAAAATGGGACTTGTGTATATATTTTGACGAGGAGAGATTGATGAGTTGTCATGCGAAGAAAATAAATGGGCTACTGGGCTTGTATACAAAGACTAAGGGCCGATCGGTTCAACAATTAATTTTAGTATTTTTTTTTTTCACGGGACGAGTTCGAGACCCATGGCCACTTACGCTTCACTTTGCCAACCCATCAGGGCGATTTTTTTGGCCCCATTCGGGGCAAGGCTTTTTCTGTCATCTTTACTTTTGTGCCTATTCTTCCTCTTCTTCTCGCCTTTATGGCTTGCAAATCACACCATCAAGTGTACCCTTTGTGGGTGAGTAAACTTGTGGCCACCAAGTGGATAAAGTTGTGGATCGGAGCCTCTTCAATTAGTATTTGTTTGGTAAGTTTTACTGAGCTCGGATCAATATTTTTTGAAGATTTTCGCAACATTGATAAATAAAAGTTGGACAAGGCTCTCACTTTTTACAAACTTTGTAAAATCGATACATATTTTGAAAGATGAGCCAACATGTTCTGTAGACACGGCTCTGCTATGCTAATTGAGTCACTTAGCCCAAAAATATCTTTCTAATTTATTGGTTTATGTTTTGAGAAAATTACACCCTCTATTTCTCAATTTTCAATTTCAATAATCAGGTATAAAATTTTTCCTTTCAAAAATCTGGTGCACCCTATCCTACTCACTCTACACCCACACCGAAATTTTTTTGTGACCATCTCTCTCTACTATCTCTTTATCACACATCCATCCAACAAGGATCTAAGAGCTAATGTTGCACTCTGTGCAGTCGCCGCTTTCTTAGGGCATGATGATGCCCTTAGAGACCTTGGCCATTTCCTGCAAGACAAGTATGGAGTAAAGTAGAAATTGTTAATGGGTGGTTGCGGTGTATGAATTTGCATAGTGGTAGTGCGGTGAATTTTGTGGTGTTGGTGGTTGCTTGATGGTGGGTTGTGGTGTACAGATGTGCAGGGTGATGATGCAATGGTGGTTGTGTGGTGGTGGGTTGCAGTGTACAATTCTGTGTGGTGCTGCAGTGGTGGTGGTGAGGTGGCAGCGATGTTTCGATATAAATTTCCATGGTGATGGTGCGGTGTGTGGATACGCGTGGTGGTGATGACGGTGTTAGTGTTAGTGAGGTGGCAGTAGCGTTTGGGTTGTGTTGATGGTGGTGAAGTGGTGATAGGATGGAGTGGATGGGATAAAGAGCGATTGTGATCTATAAAATGGGTAATCTGTTGTTGATAAATAAATGTGGCCTAAAAGATGTATAATTTGCAAATAATTTTTGTAATTGTGATACACAGTGTGTGTCTTGCGATTGTGACATAATGCGGCTTACAACTAGTACATGATTGTGATCATAAATACCGTGTTATTATGACTTTGACTTGTTTAATTAATAATTGAGTCACAGAAATTGTTAAGAGGTGGTCACACCTATTAACACATATTCCCATATGTGACCAATTGATTTTTGAAATTGTTATTTACAAGTTCCTTATTTTCGAAAGTGTAACTTTAAATTTTATATAAAGAAGAAAGAGGTGTTATTTATTTATTTATTTTGAAAAAAGAAAAGAATTGGCACATGACAAAAAGACATAGGCTATCGGATGTGAGCCACTAGACCAAAAAAGATTTTTTTTCTCTCTATTATATGAAAAATTAGGAGCATGTGACAAAAACAAAATGTTGAGTCCAAATTTGCTGTCTCTAGTAAATTTTCTATAATATAAGAAAGAGGATATTTCATTGGGTGTCAAAATTTGAGTATGAAATATCAAAAATGTCATCTTTTAAATTGTCTATCAAAAATGTCAATTTAGAACAATTTTGCCCCTCTAAATCATTACAATACCTTTTGTGTCCTTGTACCTAAACTGAGTAATTGTCAAATGAAATGACAATTAATGTTGGAAACCAAACCCAAAAACAAAAAAACAAAAAACAAAACAAAACATAAAAAAAAACAAATTACACATGAAATAAAAACAAAGGAACGAAGAGAAATCGAAAGACACAAAATCCCCAATCTCACTTGTCTCTCTCACTGCAATCGATCATCGTCCGGCCGTCGACAAAATTGGAAGTTTTGCTACAATCGCCCGCCGGCCCACCGTCGAAGACCACCGGCAGAACCTTCGGCGTCAAAGGTCCTATACGATTCTTCAGGTTTGGTGTTTTCTTTCGATTTGGTCGCTGCTGTGTAAATTTTTTACGTTAATCGGAATAAATGTTGTTGGTTCACGGAGGAAAATGTAATCCTTTGCTTGATTCTGTGTTTCAAATTCTTTGAACTCATTTTGTAAATAGGTAAAAGATCGGACTGTTTTATCAATTTCGTTTAATTCTTCTTCTTTGTTGTTTAGTGTGCTTGAGCTCTTCGAGCTATGAACCGGTAATTTTCCCTATTTGGTGGAAAATTTTTTAAGTCGATTTCGGTTACTTTTTTCTGAGCTTGTTGTTGATGCAGATTCGAGTGGTTTATGTTTTTTTACTTCAAAAAAATCTTCAATTAATTTATTTTGAATTTGACCACTGTCACTGCCTTTTCTCGTTAGGCCAAAATTTTGAATCTTGTATTTCTTACTTTTGTTCTGACCATTGTCATTATTGTATTTTGATGATTTTGTGTTTGATGGTGTTACTTTAGTCATTTGCTAGGGATGTTCACAAGGATTATCAGACTGTTAGAAGTTGGGATTACTTATCTTCCTTATACTTTAATTTTTCGCTAAATGTTAAACTCTTATTACTCTAGCATGCTTGTTAGGATAACCTTATAAATGAACTAAAATCTTACAGTAAAATGATTTTTGGATGAAAATTTTAAACTTTAAGCTTTTGCATTCTCTCAGTGATAAACTACATATTTGAATATGGAGTTTGTTTTGTTGTTACAATACTATTGTTTTCAACTGACAAAAAGTAGCCCCCGTTTGATGGCCATTATTTGGAGTTGGTTCTGTTGTTACGATACTATTATTTGCAATTGCCAAAAATAACCCCATTTTGATGGCCATTATTATGAGAAAATGGAGTTTTGAATAGTGATTGTTTGAATAACATATGGTTAAGTTGATTTTATGTGCAAAATATTGTATTGTGTAATTATATGTTTGAAATGAGTATGAGAATTAACGAGTGTTGAAATAACGGTTGGTAATTGGGGCTTAATTTGTGTAACTTCAAAATTGTCTGCCATCTTGTGCTTTTTAAATTTTGAGTAGTTCCACTAATGAATTTGTGAGGATCTAAGAGCCTCTCGGTATACTTTTAGGCACTTTATCTCATTTGAGGCCCAAAAAAAATTGTGATGCTTAAAGATTTTTGTTTGGGGGGTCATTTTTCAAATGAAGAGGGAAGTGAGTTGGTTTGATTAGATACCCATTGTTTGCAATATGAAGCACGATAAAGGTTGTATGCTAAGTTCTTGTCAATTTACTCGTGTCTATTCAGAAAGAAACTGAGGTATGAACAAATCATAGAAAACACTCTCTTGTGGCTTTAGTGTTTGCAAATTGTGGAGAATTAATAAATAGTATGGCTAGATGGAAAGGAACTTCCATTTTACCTGGTTAAAATTTCATTTTAACATTTTTCTTGTATCTGCCCCCATTATTTGCACGTAGCAAACAATAATGCAGCTTTTCATTCATTTCATTTCACAGTAGTCCTCATCTTTGCGTATGTGTTCATATCCTACAAGCAAATGTGTATTATAACATGTTGACCGAATTTCTCTAATGTCTTCCGGACCTTATTCATAATCTTTGATTTTTCCCCATCATTTTGTAATGAAATGTGGTCATACTTAACATCTAATGGCAGACATTGCTTTTTTGTAGAAATTTGTTGGCTTATCTATATTTGAAGGCTATATTGCAATTGGCTAGGAAACAACTTTTGAGCATGGAGAAGTGTACATTTTGGACAATGGACGAGAGGTTAAAAAGGCATCCTTCAGTTAAGATCTATTTGGTTAGATCTAAATATTTGGTTTCTCTTTACTTTAGTTTTAATTCTGTCATTACAATGTGATTCATGCTACTAGACTATCTTATGAAGATTGTTGTGATTTCATGTTTTTTCTATAGCATATAGTCTTACATGTAAATTCTGGTGTAAAATCTTGAATAAAGTGGAGGTTAAAAGTTGAATCTTCCTTCTACGCCAAATAAATGACTTATCTCCAATTTTTGAAGTTGGACCTCAACCATGAAAACTACGAGTAGTTTGTAGATATAGCCCTTGTTTGATCCCCACTGCTGGGGAAATTAATGCATTTTGAATAGTAAATTGATGGAGAATGTATAGTTGAAAATTAAAGAAAAGTTTTGGATTTGCGTTTAATATTATTTTATTGAACAATGTGTGGTTGAAAATGAGTTTTGAAAAAAAGATTTTTAAGAAAAATGGAAATAAAAAAAGGGCATAAAATTGACTCGCGACAATATTATTATTGGAAAATTTACTAGGCAAGTTCTAGGTTTATTATTACTATTTTTGGAGAAAATCTAATTCATGTCTGTTATGTTGAGATCCTTAATGCATTAGCATATTTTAATTTTTTAGGAACAGGGACGTCAAATTGATGTAACCAATAGTTAAAACATATAATTTTTTTTTATATGTAACGCTATTTCATGGCGAACTGTATTATAGCACGTGCCTAGCACGTGCGTCTCACTAGTTTTATTTAAAAATTCAAGTATTGAGTCTTATTTATTTATTTTCATTTCATTAATATGCAAAGTCATCATATTACATCCAACTTTTGTCAATGGTTTGATCTGAGCAACATCTACAATTCAGATTATGTAACTATTTTGAGCAAATGAAATGATAAATAATTTAAATGGAAGTCCGTTAATTTTCAAGGAATGTCATTTTGGTTGTGTGCATAACATAGGTTCTTTGTGCAATTCAAGTGAGGAAATTAT